CTCCAAAACGAAGCACGAAACTTGTGCTGAGTGAAAGAAAACAAGCTGATAAAAAAGATTGAATTTGTCTTGCTTTCCATCTAAACATTCATAAATCAAGATGCATTTACTGGAGATGCACAATGACGTGCGATAAGAAGTCTTGTTTTCTAAGAAGCTGATCAAACTGAAGTGCGTTTATGATTAAAACATGAACTAATATCAGAAAAATCAACTGAATTCAAAGAGAAAGCGGATTTATTTTTCTGACCCCAATGGCAGATATTTTGCATTTCAAGTACATGCATCTTGATTTACTGTAAGAATGTTTAGATAATCATTACTGGAAAGCAAACGTGCAAAACGACGGTCCGAAACCAGTTCATCTGTGTGCTGTATGAATGTTTGGGGCCTCTCTCGAACTCTCCCATAACCTGTGCCATGTGTTTAATATTAGATTATATCAGCCACATTAAGATTCACTCTAAAAGTGAGAGTGCGTCAAATCAACCCTGTCTATTTGTTTAACCCCGCTAATGAAAAGAATACCCGTTAGCTTCCAGTGGAGCGATGCTGCGTCGTGATAACGGAGTCAACAAATACAAACGATCCCCTTCAGCCCATCGCTGGAGACGCTTTTACATAATTCATGAGCGCCGCGTATCTCTACATCTGTCCTGAAACACTGCGCTCGGATCGGGTTTCTTCTGAAGCACCGCTCGCCTCTCAGATGCAGATTACGGCCTTTTAGCTCTGGCCCTTTTATTATATTTCCTTTGCTCTCCGCATGTGGGAATGGCACACGGATGATGCTGATTTCTGCTCCCTAATTTGTAAGCAATTTCAGGCAATTCCGAGGCCTCTGGCCTCCGGAGCGCGAGGCAAAATGCTGGAGAAGCACTGAATCAGAAGAGAGTAACAACGCTGCCTATGTAGGCGACTCGCAGTGTTTCAGAACTGAACATGCACTGTCAGTTGTGCTCTTTTAATTGACACTGAAATAAAAAAATTAGGCTTTTTTAACTCTCAAAGTGCATTCGGGTCCATTTTGACCCGGAAGAGATTCATTCCTAAAAAAATGCATTGTTTTTAATAAGGAAACAAAACTTTGCAAATGCTTTTAAGACCCTCGGAAAAATAATTTTATTTATTTTCAGACTTTTTTACAATTATTTTTTACATTAAAACTATTTTAAAAAAATAAAAATTGCACATTTTGGTCATTTGGTGTCAAAAATACTTTTGGTAAAATTATCTATGAAGTTATATTATTGTCAGGAAACTTTTATCAAATATGTCAGCTTTCCTTTCCTCAACAGTTTTGTTGATGGACAGATATGTGCGTTTATTTGACGAACCATTGCAGCATGAAAAATTGATCCTTTTTCATCTGAAAGTGGAAGTTTATACAAGTAAAATGAATTTATTTTGGTTGAAAACTTTTCAGAGAAATATTCGTTGTGTTAGAAATAAATGTCGGTTTCATAAATTTGGACTGTTTTTGAACAATCATGATTTATAAATTCAAAGGAATTTAATTCATTTCTATTCGTTCCAATTGGGTTAATACTGGTAATTCTCAGATAATATTTTTATTTACATTTTATGTATTTTTTAATATGTTCTTATAAATTTTTATACAATGTATTTTGATTTAAAAAAAATATTTTTTCATTTATTTATTTTGCATCATAGTTTTTTTTTTTTTTCGTGAACAATAATGTACAGTATGTGGAAAATAATGTGTTTTTTGATCCTTAAACCGCATAAACACATTTCATTACACCAAATACACAACATAATGTTCTTTTTAGCAGCATCATATGACCCCTTTAATTTTCTGTCTCTCGCTCTCTCTCTCAATTCAATTCATATTGCTTTATTGGCATGACATATTTAGGTACATATTGCCAAAGCATTGTACATAGCAGAATAAAAATCAACAAAACAAAAATACATATAATATACATCCATAAACAAACAAAACAAAAAATACATGTAAAATACATCCATATATATATTTATATAAACATTGATGGTACTACTAATGCAGATGTGTTCACTCTTTAACTCTTAGTTTGTGGCATTTATAAATATAATGTGCTACCAAAGAGGAA